TAACAGAAACAGACAAGAATATACTTCTTACAAATATGTTCTATATATTCAAGGATATAAATGAAAACATTACCATAATAAGCAAAAAAAAATAAAAAGATGAAAAACTAAAAAACTGTAAATTCTAGAGAAGAAAATACATTAATCAGAAACGCAAATGGTGATTTTTTTTTCTTTTTAGAAATTGTTCTTGGTCGGCTTCGTGGGGCTTGCACATGTCACTAAGTTATTTTGCAAACAACTCAACCTTGAACCCTTTCTCTGCCAGGCTGTTTCCTGCCTAAAATTCTGATGTACACATTTTAGCCATCACCGTCTTCTTAATGTCCAATTTTTGACTCTTCAATCAGTGAAATTTCAGTCTTTGTGTGTGTGTGTGTGTGTGTGTGTGTGTGTGTGATTGAAAACTACCTTCTAGAAGAACAATGGGGTAATTATAAACCTCACCTTGTATTTTTTATTCTCTCAAGGATCACGGATATTCCCTGTTTGTATTTCATGTCTAAAATTATATGTTTCCTGCCCGGCCAGTGTGGCTCAGTGGTCGAGTGTTGACCCATGAACCAAGAGGTGACTGGGTTTGATTCCCAGTCAGGCAGGGCACATGCCTAGTTTGTGGGCTGGATCCCCAGTTGGGGGCATGCAGGAGGCAGCCAATCAGTGATGGATAATGTTTCTTTCTTTTTCACTCCCAGTTCTGAAGCTGAAAAGTTCAAGATCAAGGCACAGGCAGATTAGGTGTCTGAGAAGGGCCCAATGTGTGGTTCGTAGGCAACGTGTTCTCAATGTGTCCTTACGTGGAGAAGGAGTAAAGATGCTTTCTGAGGTCTCTTCGATAAGGGCACTAAATTCATTCATGTGAGCTCCACCCCATGACCTAATTAGCTCTGAAGGCTCCACCCCCAAAGGCTCTCACATTAGGGTTAGAGCTTCAACATCTGGATGTGTGTGTGTGTGTGTGCGTGTGTGAGTGTGTGTGGTGGAGTGGGCACAACGTTCAGTCCATAGCAGTGACTAACGGTGTAGTTGGTCCATAATCAGCAGTCATTCCTGTAACCCTAGAAAGAGGGGTGTTTACCCCTTTTTTGGCTTTGACAAGTTCTTGCTTGTGTCTGAGACGTGACTGGAGTAGTCTTGTTCCACCACAGTCTGGTGTGGCATCCTGTGATATTGTTCACGTTCAATAGGAGAACATCGGGGCTGGCTGTGGGTGTTGGCAGGGGCTGCATTAGTCTTCCTGAAGGGGTAATTTTGTAAAGTAATAGAGTAAAATGTTAGGAGGTTGGAGAAGTCAAACAGGGATCAGGTCCCAGACATCCTTAGGTTGCAACAAAAAAATTGGTATTGCCCTAACCCAACGGTTCTCAACCTGTGGGTCACGACCCCTTTGGCGGTCGAACGACCCTTTCACAGG